CTAATGACTTGAAGAATGGTTGAAGTAGGTATTGACGTTGTCGCCGTCATGGAATTCTGACAAAACTCCTGCGAGGCCCCGACAAGGTTTCAACGACGCTTCTGGATTTGTGGGAGTATTTCCCTGTCCTTTACGCCGACCTCTCAAACTCCAAATACTCGAGACTCTCATTGCAATCTCCCAATTTCCTTCCTTCCTTTGGGGGGCTTATAGTCATCGAACGAGCTTTCTATATATATGGTTCAGGCTAGCGTACGCCCGAGAATACGCTACCTTATTATATGATCATTGAGTTTGCTATTTATATAATGAATTAATCGAAATTCGAGGAGTGATTCTATATCATAACCTATAATGGATGAACCCCAGTCCCTAATTTTCTAACCCAAACCGACCATATGGTTGTTGGATATTAACTTTTCACAGCTCATGGACCAATGGATCATTGGGAAATCTTTACAAAAAAATTATACATGAGAGACGTGGCAGTCTTCACTCATTGCATTCATATATATATATGGTAATGACTGGTGTACGTTAGGCGTATACTATACGTCAGGTGATCTAGCCGTTAGATGTGGTTAGATGAGCTCCGGCCGATCTCAACGGTCAATTTTTGTTTTTCATTAAATCAAACTTCGGGTTAGGGTTTAGAAAATCGGTGCCTGGGGTTTACCCATTAGAGGTTAGGGTATAGTATCTTACCCCAAACTCGATTTAATTCATGGTCTAGATAGAGATATCTCCCTAGTAGTACCTGACGTATAGTATACGCCTGACGCACACCAGTCCGACCCATATATGGTAATGACTCCGACCCAAATATATATATAAATACATGACGATGGTTGTGGTTATTAGTTATTACCTTTTTTTTATTGGAATCTGCAAATTTTATTAAGCAGAACTTGAAGCTACATTGTCTTGCTCTAGCTGATCAACAAGAAACGTCGGAGGACTATCTAACCAAACAAACTGATCATTCCAACTTGTAGCCGAATGTGCCATAATATGGGCTGCCTTGTTGCCTTCTCGCGGGGTGAAAATCCACGTCCCACTGCCCATATCGAGCAGCTTACTTGTGATACTTCTACATACCGTGCCAAGTTCCGTCTGGTTTCCCCTCGCCTCGGAGAGTCTCGAGATAAGAATCTGACTATCAGACTCTAGAATCGGGTTGCTGACGTAGAACTGTCGAGCTAGGCTCACCCCCATCTCTGCCGCCATCGCTTCTGCAGTAACCACGTCCCATTGACCCGGGATCTTCTTTGCAGCTGCAAGGATGAAGTTTCCCTCGGCGTCCCTGATCACTACTCCGAGGCCAATCCCCCTGTCTCCAGTAATCCTGCGTCAGTGTTAATCTTCACCTTCCCCATATCCGGTTTCTTCCAATGCTTCACTGAGGGAGTCGAAACCACCTGCTCACGTTCTTGGTGATGTTTGTATTCCTCCAGGTAAGTTTGGGAGCGAGCTACTATCTCCCCTTCATCTAGTTTTGGTCCGTTGAATAGATGAGCATTGCGCTCTTTCCAGAGGAACCACAGTAGGACACTTCACTTTTCCAAAACTTCTCCCTCAAACTCCTCTATTACCAGCTTAAACCATTCATAACACGATCGATTACCTCGTCGGGAGAAGCAAGTCTCCAATTCGCAGCCTCGCCACAGACGGGATGTCCATTGGCATTCGTCGAAACGGTGGATTTGTGTCTCTTTGAGATCGCAGAAAGGGCACTTATCAGTTCGTCTCTCGCTTTTTATACTGATATGGTCACCTGTCGGCAGAGCATCCCGGGCAAACCTCCAAACAAAGTGCTTAACTTTCGGCGGAACTTCCATTTCCCAAAGCTTCTTCCAAACGTGCGCTTCCCCCACATCGGCCGACTACCTTTCTTCCTTATACCTCTTCAGCCACAGCTTGTAGCCTGATTTTGCCGCGTAATCCCCATTAGGCGTGTCCATCCAAATTTGCCTGTCCACTTCGTCCAGTCCCCTTAGCGGAATCTGCTTTATTCGATCTGCAATCTCCGCCGGAAAGCAAGCCTCCACTACAGTCTCGTCCCACTGGTCCGACTCCGGGGAGATCAGGTCCCGCACCTTAGCATCCACAGGGAGGCCCATGGGGGCTGAAGTTACAAATGCGGGAGAGGATTCCGGCAGCCATTTATCGCCCCAAATCTGGACCGATGCCCCATTCCCGATCCTCCACCTTATTCCTTCATTTAGGAGCTCTTGAGCGCTCATCAAGCTCCGCCATATATAGCTTGGATGGTGACCCACAGCAGCCTCCAATATCGTCGTCTTCTTATAGTATTTGGCCTGTAGAATCCGAGCTACCAGGGATTGCGGCCTCTGATGGATACTCCACATTTGCCTTGCAAGCAATGCCGTATTAAAACCATACAGATTACGGAACCCCAAACCACCCTCCTCCTTTGGCCATGTTAACTCGTCGTGGCTGATCCAATGAATACGTCGCTCAGAGCCCCGCTGCCCCCAATAGAAGTTTGTGATCAATCCATGGACTTCCTTCACTATCGTACTCGGAACTCGAAAAACCGACATTGCGTAGGTAAATTGAGCCTGGGCTACTGCCTTTATCAGCGTCTCTCGGCCACCAATCGATAGGGTTTTTTTCTTTCCAGTTCTTGAGCTTCTTCCGCACCCTTTCAATCAGCCCCGAGAAAATTTCTTTCTTCGACCTGCCCACCACAGTTGGCAACCCCAAATATTTATCATGTTTATCTACCATCGTCATTTCCAATGTACCACTGACCATTAGCCGCTGATGCATCTTCACTTGTTTACTGAAGGAAACTTGTGATTTTTGAAAGTTCACAAGCTGCCCAGATTCTTTTTCGTAAGCATTTAGGATGTCCTTAAGCACTGCGCCCTCCTGCTGTGTTGCCCGCCCGAAGAACACGCTGTCGTCCGCGAAAAAGAGGTGGGAGACAACAGGGGCTCCTCTAGCCGGTGGGATACCATGAATTCTTTTGTTTTCCACCATCTTTTTCGTAAAAGCTGAGAGACCTTCTGCACATAGAAGAAACAGATATGGGGATAACGGGTCCCCCTGACGTAGCCCCCTGCTTGGCGAGAAAACCTCCGACTGATGTCCGTTGACCAGCACTGAATACGTAACAGTACGAACACACATCATAATCGTGCTGATCCATCTCTCTTCAAACCCCATCCTGCGCATAATTCCTTCAAGGAAATGCCACTCTACTCTATCATAAGCCTTGGCCATATCGATTTTTGCCGCAAAGTACCCTGCACCCCTCCTCTTCTGTTGCTTCTTCATTGTGTGGAAACACTCAAAATCTGCGATAATGTTGTCCGATATCGCTCTGCCTGGTACAAAAGCACTCTGTTCCGGCGCGATCACTGAGTCCAAGACTTTCTTCAGTCTGTTAGCAATAACCTTCGCCACCAACTTGTACAAAACGTTACATAAACTTATAGGGCGAAATTCCTTTGGTGAGGTTGGTGTTTTCACCTTTGGAATTAACGCTATAAGAGTATGATTCAAGCCCTCTGGGATTTCTCCATGCTCCAGGATAGAGATAACTGTGCTTGCGACATAATCTCCTATCACATGCCAATACTTCCGGAAGAAAAGTGCCGACATTCCGTCTACTCCTGGGGCTTTTCTCTTTCCCATCGTCTTCAAAGCAGCAAAAACCTCGTCGCGTTCATAAGGCCTAGTCAATTCTTCATTCTGCTCCCTCGTGATTTTCGAGCGAACCGAGTCCAGCACCGGGGTCTCGTCAGGTTCACTCCCTGCATGGAAAAGATGAGAAAAGTAATTTACCATGCAGCCCAGCACTTGCTCCGTTCCTACATGCCACTCGCCCGTCTCATCTCGAACTTTCCTGATTGTGTTGCGTTTCCGGCGCGCCGAGGGCTTCTTGTGGAAGAAGTTGGTGTTCTTGTCACCTCCCTTCAGCCAATCCGCTCTCGAACGCTGCTGCCAGTATAGTTCTTCGCTTTCCTCGAGCTCCGCCATTTCCTTCTCCAATTGTTTTTGTTGGACGATGATCTCCGGGGTGATGTGACCGCGATCAAGAGCAACCAGCGCACGCCGAATCTTGGCCTTTTGCCGGGGGAAATTGGGGAACGTACGCTTGCTCCATGCTTCAAGGTTGTCCCTGCAAAACCGAAGCTTTGTTAGTAAATCTCCTGCACCCCCGGACCTCCAAGCCTCCTCCACCACTTCCGGACACTCCTCATGCTTCGCCCAGTGTGGCTCGAACCTAAAGGACCAACCCCACTTTGGTTCCTCATCTTCTTCCCCCAATGTATCACACACTACCGGCCTATGGTCTGATCGAGCTTTTTCCATGTTGATAACCCGTGCCTTTGCAAAGTACTCCCACCATGACTCAGAACAAAGAAAACGGTCAAGCCGCTCCCTGATGAAACCCCACACGGTCCTGTTGTTTGCCCAAGTAAATCTGCATCCTTGAAACCCCATGTCGACCAGGCCTGCTTCCAGTAAACAGTCATTGAAAGCTACCATGTCCCTTGTTTCTTCCTGTCGTCCTCCTTCCTTCTCTTCCGCATCCAGGATCTGGTTGAAATCTCCACCACACAACCAGGTTCCCTCCCATTGCTGAGCTAATCTACCCATTAACTCCCATGTCTGATGCTTCTCTCGATCGTCAGGCCATCCATAGATACCGGTAAATCGCCACTCCATTTCGTGCTTCTCTGTTATTTTCGCATCTACATGGTGTATCGACATAGACATAATCTGTAGATTGATTTCCTCCTTCCACCACAAGCTCACTCCTCCTGCTCTCCCACCACCCGAAATATCTGTGGACCAGCTCTCTCCATTCTCGAAACCCAGCTCAACCTTTGTGACCTTGTTCTCATCTTTCGTCTGTTTTGTTTCCATTAAGAAAACAATGTCCGGGGAGGTATGTCGCAAAAGCGATCTCAAAGCTTTAACTGCCCGCTTACTCCCCAAACCGCGGAAGTTATAGCTCAGTATCCTCATTTATGACCTGAAGGGGATAGGTTCCCCGCACCCTTAGTATTTTTTGCCTTCTCCGAACTATCCTTGTTCACCGTAATTCGCTGTTTGGGGCTACTCTCCTGCCCCTTCTTCCCCGACTTGTTCCCTGCCATCTCCCCTCTATTACCGCCTTTCTCCTTGGGGTTTTTTTCCAGCCCCTGTTGGCCCGTCTTCGTACCTTGTTTCCTCTTCTCCCCCTGTCCTTTTCCTCCCTTATTACTCCCACTAGCCCTCACTGGGCACTCTTTGGTATTTTCTCGGTCTTGCAGACTTCCACTCTCCACTTCACTTGGGCTATCATTCTTCCCCGCCACTGTAGATTTTCTTGTCTGGAGCTTTTCATTTGCAGCCTGGTTCCCTTTCTCCCCAACCTCAACGTCATCCCCATAGCCATGCAGCACGTGGAACCGGCCACCCCTATCATCTCCTACTCCTCCTTTTTTCTCCGCCAGCGGGGGTGAGGCTTCTCTCCGAATCAGTCGCTTTTTACGAACCGTCATCCACTCCCCATACACTTGCCCTTCAGTAGGGTTAGTCGGAGGAGTTTCTTGTCCCGTTCCCTGCATATCTTCATCCTCTCCCGTCTGCATGAGATTTTGACATTGACATTGGTGCGCCTTCTTTCCATACATACCGCAATTACTACATATATTTTCAATCCCTTCATATTGTATTAAGTATGTCACTCCTTCAATCTTAAACTGAGATAGGAGAGGCTTCGTTAAGTCGACCTCCACACATACTCTAGCAAACTTTCCCCTAGCTCCCAATTCCGTTGCTCGGTCCACTCTTATTGGGATGCCTATCGCTTGTCCAATCATCATTACTGCTTCTTTATTAATGAACTCAATCGGCAATTCAGGCAACTGTACCCATATCATGGTGGATTTAACTTCCGCCTTCCACGGGTTGAAACCCTTGTACCATCTATGCACCGTCAGGTATGTCTCACCCAATAGCCACGGGCCTCCTGTGAGGGCATGTTCGTAATCAAATTTGTTCCTAAACTTCACCAGGAAACACCCGTTCTTTAGGTCCGATATTTGGAGGTCACCATGCTTTGCCCAGAGATAGTTCAATCTTTTTTCGAGTGCCGGGAAATACACCTTCCTCTCCAACCCCCTAACTACTAGTGCTGATCTCCATTCCCTTCGCCACCTTATCTTCTGCGCCGCTGTGAACGGGATTGTGGGGCACTTAGGATCGTCATCAATGTTTGGGATATCATCCTCCTCCTTTTCCCGCTGAGCAACGTTCTCTGAATCCGACTCCTCCACATACCAGGTCTCATCCCGGAGGACATCACTGAATAGTCTTTTTGGCGAACCATACCAGCTATTTGGCCCTCCTCCCATTCCGGTTGTCTTCTGTGTTCGAATAGGTTCATCTTCCGTTTCCATACCCGCCGCTCCTCCATCTTCATTAGCTGGAGGTGTTGTGTCAAAGTTCATAGGTCGCACCTTCTTCTTCGCTTGCACCGTCTCCTTTTCGCTTTTTCCGTCCGGCGAAGAGGATCCCGGAAGCGGTCGCCGTCCCCCAACAGTGTCCGGGGGCTTATCAGCCAGCGCCGTCGTCCCTGACGACGGGGGAGCCGCCATAATCAGCGGAAAAGAAAACCCTAGGCTTTTCGCGAAGAGCAGAGGATTCCGAGAAATTCGGAGCGTGATTAAGAATTTCGAAATTGACAATACCTAATTGGTTATTAGTTATTACCAAGGAACGAGCTTGGGTAGTTTTGACAGAAGCTACGAGACAAGGGGTTTTTGTTTCTTTCTTTAAATATTAATCTCGTTTGTTGGGATTTAATTAAAGAGTCAATGACGAATTGAGGAAAAGAAATTAGTGTTTGGTTTGGTTGGCCATTCAATCACATTTCAATCCTTTATTTTTCCGGTCGACACTTCTTGTCATTGAACGGATACCACTCTAATCAACCTAATTGGATATTTTCTAACTTAGGTTTGTATTTTCTAAAACTATGAAGAAATTTTCTTTTGGGATGTAAGATGGAAAAGTGTAGGACCAAAAGGCTTATTTAAAAACCTAATTATATATATAAGATTGGAACGATGAGGAGTTTTTGGAACCAAAAGGGTACAACAATGAACTCAAGTCTACAGAGTTCATCAACAACAAAAGCAATGTACTTCTCAAACTAAGTTTACCTAGTACAATTACATTGTAAACAAAGTTACTAAAGAGATGAAGTAGACTCAATTAATTGTAAGAAGAAAAACAATCTTAACCTGACAGATGAAATCATCATCTTTGAAGTAGTGCTAAAGTGAGAATATATAGGATGAAGAAGATGACTGTTGGACGGATCTTGGGTAGCATGGAGGAAAGCTGATGAAGAGCTGTCTTTGACTTTGTAGAAAGGCAGCTATAAACAGAGAAAATGGGAAGGCGGGAGATCAGCTATGTGGAGAAGATGACGATGTCTGTTCATTTGAGAAGATCAAGAGATACGAGAGATGAACTGCTATGAATAGGGCGGAACACCATTATTTGAGGAGAGCTGGAGTGCTGATGAGCGAAACCCTGTTGTTTGACGAGATGGGGTGATGATGAGCGGACACTATTGTGCGAGGAAAGATAGAGTGATGATTTCGTGAGGACGACACACACCATTTTGAGAGAGCAGAACGACATCGCATAGACGTACCACAATTTCCCCGTTCGTCTACTAAATGAGATAACTCATGCAAGAAAACATGGAAAGAAAATAGCAGGAAAGACAAAAAGTATGAAATTATAATAAAAGAGCATGTCCTTCTTAGGGACTTCAACAAAAGTAGAATATTATAACAAAAGAGTTCATGACAGATAGACAAATCCTTCTTAGTAATTTCAACAAAAAAGCATAACAAGAAAAGTATATTGTCGCAACCGTCCCTCCGGGGATTCAGGGTTGTCGCGTACGCTTTTTGGGAGTCGTCATCGATCTTACTTGGAGTGGATCGAACACTCTTCGGATCGGCTCTAACCTTAGGGTCAGAACCGAGGTATGGTCTGCGATTAAGAGATTCGGGTTCGGGAGTACGGTTACGTGTGGGGAAGTGAAATCACAACCCACAACGCCTTAAATCGGTATTACTTAAGTCGATAAGCTTATATATTAGTTGGGTGTATTTTAGTAATTATGTTGTAATTTTAGGGTCCCACTGGACCATTAAATAATTTTAATCGTATTAGTTGTAATTTAATTATACGCCTACTGACGTAAAAATTAAAAGATAGAGTGAATTGGTTAGTTGGAATCGAACCTTATCGGTTGCCTACGTACCTGTAACACGGGATCAAAGTCCACGTAGTTCGTTTGAACTTTGACAATTTAATTGTAATCACGTTCCACTGATCGTGATTTTTGAATTATAATTTTGTTAATAAAACTTCATTTAAATTATTATGGGGTTGCTAAAGTGAAAGTAAGAACTTTAATTATTAGGAAGAAATTCGATGTATTAGAAGAGAAGCAAAACTAACTTAATCCGCATTCAACATTTCGTATTAAGGACTTTAAACAAATAAAATCAAACGAGATGACTATGTTTACGCTTTTGTTTGTATTTTCTGGAAACGGCCCAAAACGGAGGAGGCTTCTCGATATACTCTCCCTCGCAGAAACGACAGCGACAAGGGGTGAATCTTACCCTCTGGTACGGTTTTTCTCATATGCATGTTTGTTTTTAGTTGGATTCTGCACTCGATTTTGAGTTTAACTCGTTTTAGTTTTTCTTGTGGTGGACGAGGGGTAGAGATCTGCGAAGGCGCTGGTGGCTTGGCCTCGCCGGCGTGGATATACTAAAGCCGCCGATGAGGAACTCTAGGTAAACCTCTTTTTTTTTTTGTTTATTCTAGTCTATTGGTCTATTTTTGTTTGGTTCTGATTTTTATTATTTGGGTGTTTTCGTGGAGGTGGGACAAAAAAAGAATTAGCCGCCACCAGTCCGAGCTTCACCGGCGACCAGAACTGGCAGGGGAGTTTTTTTCTTTAAGTTATTTCTTGTTCTTGATTTAAGTCGATTTTTGGTTGATTCTGACTTCTATTCGTTTTGGTGCTGGATATGGGAGTGGACTAATTTGGGTAAGGATGTTCTAGACTTTTGCTTAGTATGGTTATAGGGATTTCGAAATAGGAGATAAAAAGAAGCTAATATTTATTTATGGATTTTAAAATGATATACAAATCTGATTTTTAGGATTAAAAATCTGAATTCGAATTGAATGATTCTGAAAGGATGAATGAATTCGTTTATGAAATCTAGTGGATTCGGTTATAGCTCTTGATATGCTGGAATTCGGTAAAAAAAGGAATTTTATGTAGGGATCAGTAGTATACATAAACAAGCGATACAATGATAGAGAACTAAAAGGATTGTTATTGAAGAAGGATGAACCTGGTTTATAGATTACAAGCTTGGTCTTGAGATCCTTGCCTTGTGCCTTCTTTCCACTCTTGTACTCCAAGAACAAGGATTCGATCCTAAAAAAAAAAGGCTAGAAAGAAAACTCTCTCCCTATTTTCTTTCGTGTTTTCACTCCCCCCTTTTTCCCAGAACCGTACCCCCCAAACTTGAGAGCCCAAAGAGCTCTTTAATAGTAAAAGAAAGTGCCACATGTCATGCTGTGATTGATGATGAGCATGACATGTTTCTCTCTAATTGGCTGAGCCTCAATGCTGCATCTGAAGCCTCCACCTGTAAAGTGGGTTGCTGAGTGGCCATGTTGGTGAGCTCTTGGTTGGGTTGGGCAAAACCAATCTGTGCATTTGGGCTCCTGGGCATATGGGCAGACCCGGGCTCAGATTATGGGCTGAAACTGTTTTTTGAAATTTGGGCCTGTGTTAGCTTACTCTCTTCTTTGTTTTGCAGCTTGCCGGTGTGGGCTCTCCATGTCTATCAGGCCTTTGCTTCTTGGATTTGTAAACTTGGTTGATGTTTAGGAGTGTACTAACTTTTGTAATGATGTTGGCTTTTAAATTCCTCCTCAATAATACGATATTATACTTTCCTTGTGCATTCAAATCCCTTATGCATCAAACCTTGACATGGAACTCGAATTGTTCATCAAACCTTGACATGGAACTCGAATTGTTCATCAAACCTTGACATGGAACTCGAATGCTTCGTCTCGTACTAAACTTGAATGAAAGATCGTACTCATGTTTAACATGAACCCTTCTTAGACTGGTGAGAGACAACTTTATTGGTCCGAAGCTGGCAACAGGTTTTGACCCGGACAAAATGTGGTGTCTAAAGTTGCCCCCACTTTGTATATCTCTTTGTATGAAGAGTTATACAAAGTTCTTGAAAAGACACCACATTTTGCAGAACTTTGTTGATGATTGTATCATATCACAAAAAGTTATGCTTGAGTGTCGTTAGAATTCCCAGGAGTTGCTTGTGTTTGCATTGTGAATGTTGATTATGACGAAATCACCTTTTTCTATAGTGTTTGCCAACGCGAGTCTTATGTTTATGCATATTGTTTGCCAATGCGTGAAATTGCATTTTTATATAGCATTTGCCAATGCGAGAAATTTACGTTTTTATATAGCGCTCGTCAACGCAGGAAATTACATTTTTATATAGCATTTGTCAACGCGGGACGTATTTCTATAGCGTTTGCCAACGCGGGAACATGTTTATATAGCGTCCGCCAACGCGGGAAATTACATTTTTATATAGCGTTTGCCAACGCGAGAAATTTAGATGACGACTAACGATGCAGGTTTACGTTTTTATGTAAGCGTTCGCCAACGCGGAGAAATTGCATTTTTATACAGCATTTGCCAACGCGAGAAATTTAGGTTTTGTTTGCGTTCGTCAACGCGGGAACATTTTTATATAGCGTTTGCCAGCGCGGGAACATATTTCTATAGCGCTCGCCAACGCGGGAACGTATTTCTATAGCGCTCGCCAACGCGAGAACGTGTTTATATAGCGTTCACCAACGCGAGAATTTAAGGTTTTCTAGTATGAAATTAGATGCGATATTTTCTGGGATCTTGGTAGACTTTGAAAGTTGAAGTAAACAATTTCTGAGGTTCTGATGAGACGCTCAATGCATATCTAAAGTAAAGATGGACACGTTTTTTTTAGAAATGACAGTATGATGTATCATGTTGAATGATGATGTGTATGAATGTTATACAAAAAATACATTGTTTTTGTTGTTGGTCCTGGATTTCTTTAAACCGATCATCCACCAGGAATTTTGTCATCGTCTTTGGAAGACTTGATCCTTAGTTGAGCTCGAAACTCGATAGTGAGAGCTCTTGATTATCCGCGTATCCGCCTCTATGGTGCAGAGGTAGGGATATCGGTTACTTTGTTGCCTTGATGCATGATGT